TAATCAAATTGTGTATAGCCGCCAAAGCAATTAACAACCTAATGGTTGTAATTCGAGCAACCGGTGCATACGTATCAAAATAGTCAATTACGAGTTTTTGTCTAAAACCTTGAATGACCAACCGAGCCTTGAACCTGTCAACAGTTCCATCCACTTTCATCTTCTTTTTGAAGATCCATTTGCAACCTAAGGGTTTAGAATCGGTGGCAAATCCGACAACACCCAAGTGCTATTCTCCGTAATTGATGACATTTCATCATCAACTGCCTCCTTCCAAAAGGAAACATCTCGGGACTCCATTGCCTCTTTAAAGGACTTTGGATCATCCTCAACTGGGTAACAATATGAATATTGTACCCCCACTTCATCCCTTGAACCTTCCACTAAATACAAGTGAAAATCGGGACCAAAGTCTTTCACGATGCGGCCTCGTTTGCTTTTCCTTATTTGTGGTGCTTCGGGATTCAAAGCACCATCCAAACATTCTGGAACTTGCACCTCACTAGTTCTTGGAACTAGTTCCTTTGGTCTTTGAATTGATGAAAATCTCATCTCATCAAAGACCACATCTCGAGACTCAATCACGGTGTTAACCGTTACCGCATCATTAGGTTCTATTACATAAAACCTATAAGCCTTGGAATGTTCAACATACCCTATGAATATGCAATCAATTCCCCTTTCCCCCAAAGTTTTCCTTTTGGGCTCCGGCAATTTTACAACCGCCCTACAACCCCAAACCCGAAAATATTTCAAATTCGGCACTTTCTTGTACCAAAGCTCATATGGGGTTATCTTGTTCCTTTTATTTGGAACCCTATTTAGAACATAGCAGGCCATGAGCATGGCCTCTCCCCAAAACCCTTCACTCAAACCTGAGTAGGAAAGCATGGAATTAACCATTTCCTTTAACACTCGATTTTTTCGTTCAGTCACACCATTTTGTTGTGGTGTATACGGAGCCGTGGTCTCATGAATGATTCCAACAGATTGAAAATAATGGGGATCCATATATTCTCTTCCCCGATCAGTCCTAAGACATTTAATCGGATTACCCAATTGCAATTCAACCTCGGTTTTATACACTTTAAATTTCTCTAAAGCTTCATCCTTAGTGTGTAATAAATACACATAACAAAACCGAGTTGAATCCTCAATAAAAGTAACAATATACTTTTTATTGCCAAGGGAAAGAGTTGAGTGAATGTCACATAGATCACTATGTACAAGATCCAAAATAGCCGAATTCCTATCAACATTAGGAAACGGTTGTTTTGTGATCTTAGTAAGCATGCAAGTCCTACACTTATCATCATTAATATCAAAAGCCGGAATTAAACCATCTTTAGACATTTCATGCATTTTTCTAAAATTAACGTGAGCTAATCTAGCATGCCAAATCATACAATCATTCATGGAAGATGCCACAAAAACAGAATTATCACTAGAAATTAATTTATTCACAACATTCAAATGAAACATGCGATTTGATAAATATCCAAAACCAACAAACACACCACCCTTGGACAAAATATATTTATCAGATTCAATCACTTGTTTGAACCCTAAATTATTCAACATACTTCCCAAAACAAGATTCTTTCGAACCTTCGGTACATACAAAACATCAAACAACGTAATTGTTTTTCCAGAAGTAAATTCTAAAACAACTACACCATTTCCCAAGATAGGCACCATTGACTCGTCTCCCATGCGTAAGAAGGAACCGACCTCCACTGGTTCCAGGTCTTCAAACCATCCTTTATCCTTACACATATGGCTCGTAGCCCCCGAGTCAATCCACCATGCACAGTCATCATCCTGTACATAAAAAGATTCTGGAATGAGTGATACATAATTCTGGACAGAATTATCAAAGTTAGTCAGGAACTGACCTCCTTTCTGTGGAACCAGGTCCTTAGACCGTTCCTGTCCACTGCCACTCGTTCCAGCGCCATTCTTGTTCAGTTTCACACGGAAATCACACTTGACATGTCCAACTTTTTGACACCTCCAACAAACCAAACCTTTCGGTTTCTTGTTGGGTTTTTCATGGTCTTCATACTTGCGCTTTTTGCCTTTCCCCTTATCTTTCGGGTTAGATTTATTATCCTCAACCAAGTGAACATGTGCCAATCTAGATTCAACTTCACTCATAATTTGGTCATTCTCTTGCGCACGAAGAGACTCCTCAATGTGCAAGTGACTCCCAAGTTGAACCAATGACAATTCCTCATCTTGATGTTTTAAATTACGTTTAAAATCCTTCCAAGAGGGTGGAAGTTTGTCAATTATACTCGACACGGCATAGGACTGATCAACACCTATTTTGTGGAGTTTAAATTGACCAAGAACACGAAGGAGTTCATTGTATTGTTCCATAACCGGCCTTGAGTCAACCATTTTAAAATTATTAAAATCACTCACCAAGAACTTCTTACTAGAAGCATCCTCGGCGATGTATTTTGACTCAAGAGAATTCCACAATTCCTTCACACTCTCAACATTTTGGTAAATATCAAATAACGCATCGGACATATCGTTAAGAATGTGGCCTCTACATATGTAGTCATCGTTCTCCCACTTGTTACGCCTCCTAGTTTGTTCCAAGGTTTCGTCCTCCATCACTTCCGGCATCGGAGTGCTCAACACGTACACAACCTTCAAAGTGGTGAGGAGGAAGTGCATCTTCTTTTGCCATCTACGGAAATCCTTCCCTTGAAACTTGTCCAATTTTTTGAACTTGGATGTCATCTCTTCCACGGTACTCATGATTATCACAAAGAAAATATCAATTCGATTGTTGGGGTAGATCACGTAGGGGGTGATAAACGAGTACTTGGATTGCTTAAGGATCGTGTAAGTTCATTTTCAGATTTGATATTTCTCCCCTATGCCTCGGTTACAAGAAATTCAATCTAGGATAATCCTTAAGGACACTCTAGAACTTAGACACAAGAACTAGAGCCAAGCTAGTGAGTATATGGATTGATATCTTAAGTTGAATGCCAAAAATGATGAAGATATCTTGGATATGTTTCCTCATCCTTCTCTGTACGAAATATGGTGATATATAACCATATTACACGTCCTGGGCAGTTGCAACACGTTCTGGAATAACTGTGACAGTTTTTGGAAAACTGCACGAAACTGCCCAACCGCTCTAGACCTCGGTCTAGAACCACAGAGTTGGTCTACTGAGTGTTCTACCTCGAGTTCCACTGACGTAGACACTTTGGAATAGAACTCGTTCTTATATACAAGTGTGCACTCCACACCTCCTAGCTTGTATTAGAACACGGTTCTAATCCTCATTGGCACTCATGTCATTTCCAATTACACAAAACGGCCGGTGACACTAAAATCACCAACACTTACTGCCCTACAAGACCCAAGCTGGTTTGCCAGCATGCATGATGAATATAGTGCTCTTATTAAAAATAGGACGTGGGAGTTGGTTCCTCGTCCCAATGGTGTTAATATTGTTCGTTGTATGTGGCTCTTTGAACATAAATATAGGTCGGATGGTACACTTGAACGACATAAAGCTCGCCTTGTTGCTAATGGCAATTCTCAACAAGTCGGTGTGGATTGCGATGATACTTTCAGTCCGGTGGTTAATGTAACACCCCGGCCCCGTAGGATCCGAGGGAGTTACTTCTGACCTCTAGTACTGTCCTCACAAACTGCCACTTGCTTTTTCCGCGCACTTTGTCCTCACTCGTGCGCGCCCTGAGAAACTTCTCAGGGGTCACCCATCCCAATACTACTCCCGTGCAAGCACGCTTAACTTTGGAGTTCTTGGCTAATGAGCTCCCTTAAAAGGAGATGCACCTTGTTGGTATGAGTAGTACTATTAATCCGTTTAAATTAAATCTAGAGTATTACAATCACCCCACTTAGGAACGCAACGTCCTCGTTGCGCCCATAAACCAATCTCAATCATCTCCCAGAATCTTGCCCCGCTAAGTGCCCGCCCGATATCCAACAGGTCAACACATGTGTTTATTCATGCATGATCCTCAGGCACCTCATTTTAATGCTCTCAAACGGATTCTTCGTTGTCTCCATGGTACTCTACACTTTGGCATCCACCTCCGCCCATCATCACTCACGTCTCTCATTGCATACTCCGATGCGGATTGGGCTGGTTGCCCCGATACCCGCCGCTCCACCTCTGGCTATTGTGTTTTCTTTGGCGACAACCTCATCTCTTGGTCATCCAAACGCCAACCCACTATTTCTCGTTCCAGCGCCGATGCCGAGTATCGTGGGGTAGCTAACGTCGTGGCCGAGACCTATTGGATTCACAATCTTCTCCTGAAACTACACTGTCCTGTACAACGAGCATCAGTTGTCTATTGTGATAATATTAGCACATTCTACATGTTCGATAATCCAGTTCAGCATCACGCACCAAACATATTGAGCTCCACATACATTTTGTTCTTCAGAAAGTCGCCCGTGGGGATGTTCGTGTCTTACATATCCCTTCTCGTCATCAATTTGCCAATATCTTCACAAAGGATCTTCCCCGTGTTTTGTTTGATGATTTCCGTTCCAGCCTCAGCGTTCGTCCTCCTCCCGCTTCAACTGCAGGGGCGTATTAACGTCCGCATGCATCTTGGTTGACCAAATACACTATGTATTTATTATTTAATTATTACGGAGTATTTCTTATTTAGATAATAATAGAATAGAGCATAGTTATCTAATACGGAGTACGTATGAGTGCAATTCGGTTAGCTTGAGTTATCTGATAGGTATGAGTATCATTCAGTTAGCTCCTCATCTCATGTAAATGATATTAACTAGGACTCGTGCACTTGTATTATTTAAACTCCTTCAGAGAATAATAAACGACACAGTTGATAATCCAATTTAAAATAACATTATAGAACGAGTGGGTCTGGGTACCCATTTTTTCAAATTGTAAGACTGGTTCAGATCTTAAACTTTTTAAGACCCACTCCAAACCTATCTATTGATTTTTCGGATCTAACCGAAACCTGTCCAGAACCTGTATTACTCCATCCTACCCGCGGGTCCTCTACCCTTTGCCCACCCCTGGACAAAACTAGAACCAAATTGACCGTTTTCAGACATTTTCCCTTCTGCACATTGCAGAAGTTCCGCGTGACTTGCAACATTTCACCTTGTCGGTTATACATTTGCGTCTGGACTCCGTAGTTATATACAAGGTCGTTCATTTCCATATCTACAAAAGATGACAATGTTACAGAGCTCGCGCTGTATACTCTCGCCAACGTCTCCGTCTTTATTCGCCCCTGATTTGCCATACACTTCATTTATGCCGTCCAAGAGAACAATTACCTCAAGACGCAGCCCTAGGTTCTCTAAGCTCAATGTTCTCTCCAAGCAGCACCAACAGTCGTCGATTGATAGTGCCAGTCATAATAAGGACGGATCGCCCTCGGCGGAGCAGTTTTTGCAGAACAACTCGATTGCGGACTTCATGAGGTTCAAGCATCACTCCAATGTTGGTGAACGGCTGGCCGAGCTGCAAACTGCCGTTGTTAGTTACAGGAAGAGGTTCCCTTGGTCAATCCTTCAGCCCTTTCTGAGGGTAATGAATTTCCTAGTTGAAAACCGGTTTACATATTAATGGTTTGAAAGATGCATATTTATTTCACCACAAAAACATGGCTTCCTACTGACGATAGAGGTTCCTTATTTTGTTCAGGTTGATTTGGTGTCGACAATACACATTGCTGATAAAGAGTACGCTTTTCTCAATTTAATGAAAAAATATCTGGCAGTGATGCTTAATTTTGCTTCAGTTACTGAACCTTTGTAATCCATGATGTTTGTTCAGCGGTCTATGGGGTAGACATATCGAGAGAGACTTAGTGCGGCCATGTTAGTCATCGTTGATCTCTAAATTCCTTTGTTAGTTATTGAAATTAGAGTAGTTTCGAGTATGATAAGTGCAAGTTAAAGAGAATGGGGCCTAGATGGTTGTGCTACTCTCTTAGTACATGCTCTCTTTGCCTGAACTATGTGATATGCTTTCTGATTATTTGAAGATTTGGTAGATTTGGTCTGATCTTTATGGTTTGGTCTGTATGATTCTCCTCTAATTTAATCTAAATTAATTAAAATAAGTTAACACAAGAATAAGTAATAAGGCGAAAAGATAAACCCGTTTATCCTGTTCTGATGAGTGTTCTTTACCGAACATTCCTTAAAATTTGTCTAAATTAATTAGGGTGTGTCATGTGTGTGTGTGTGTGGAGTATTTCACAATGCATTAAAAGTGCTGAATAAGTTTCCATTCCATCTTCTATCTTGGTTGTTGAACTCTTAATCATTTTATATTTTTCTGTATATTAGTTTCTGGTAATAAATTTGTTGTTTGCCATCAACTACGGACAACAGGAAACATAAAATTGTTACTACATCTGACTCGACAATTTGTTAAATTTGCAGGTACTTTGCAACTCTACAGAGGGAACTTGAGACATATGATTGTGTTCTTTATGAAATGGTTGCAAGTAGGGAAAGCTTAGAGAGTAAAGGAAATCTTGTTGTAAAAAAGAATCTTAAAAGTCTAAAAAACAGGGGCTTCAATTTTCTTGGTTTCATTCAGAGACAGATGGCTAGAGTTCTTACAGTTGATTTTCAATTAGATTGTCTTGACTACCACTCTAAGAACTGGTACCATGCGGATCTTGACTTTGAAACCTTTAAGTTACTTCAGGTAGTTTCTCTATTCCATACAACAACAACATCCAAGCCTTAGTCCCAAAAGATATTGGGGTCGGCTAACATGAATCGATACATGATATCACAACCAAAAGGAAAAGAAGGAATAAAGATAAAAAGATAAGCTATTATGAAAAGATAATATAAAAAAAGATGAATATATATATATAAATGATAACATAAAAAGGTTGCAAATAATGCTTATATATATATATATAAGGATAAAAAAAAACTAGGAAAAAAAAAGATGAGGGAAAAAGATTATCAAGATCACTCCTTCACGTGAATACCCGCCCTGCACTTAGTTCTCTCCAAAGTCATGCCCTCATCCAACCCCAGAAAAAGCATATCACTTCGAACTCCCCTAACCCACGTCTGTTTGGGTCTTCCTCTCCCTCTCTTCCCTGCCTCTTCTCCACACATCTCAACTCGCCTAACAGGTGCATCACTCGGTCTTCTACGCACATAACTGAACCACCGTAGGCGCGACTCCCGCATCTTGTCTTCAATAGGTGCTACTCCCATCCTTTGTCTGATTGTCTCATTCCTCACGCGGTCCTTCCTAGTATGCCCACACAACCAACGCAGCATGCGCATCTCTGTCACACTCATCTTATGAATGTGACATTGTTTCACCGCCCAACACTCTACGCCATACAGTAATGCAGGCCTAATTGCTGTCCCATAAAATTTACCCTTCAGTCTAGTCAGCATACCTCGGTCGCATAGAAATCCTGACGCACTCTTCCACTTCATCCACCCTGTTCTGATTCTATGGAATACATCTCCATCTAACTCACCGTCCTTCAGAATTATGAAGCCCAAGTAACGGAACATATCGCTGACTGGTATCTCCTTACCATCCAGAGTAATTCCGCTATTACCATTACTTCTACCTCCACCAAACTTGCACTCCATGTACTCTGTCTTGCTCCGACTTAGTTTGAAACCCTTATTCTCCAATGTTTGTCGCCATACTTCCAACTTTGCTTTAAGACCTGATTGTGTCTCATCAATCAATACAATATCGTCGGCAAACATCATGCACCACGGTATATCGTCTTGAATTGACTTCGTAAGTTCATCCATGACTATGGCAAATAAGAAAGGACTCAAGGCCGATCCTTGGTGCACTCCGATAGTAATAGGGAACTCTTCAGTCCTCCCTACACTAGTACGAACACTTGTAGTACAATCCTCATACATATCCATGATGATGCTGATATACTTGCGTGATATGTCTTTCCTAGTTAAGGCCCACCAAAGAACTTCTCGAGGTACCCTATCATATGCCTTTTCTAAGTCAATGAACACCAAATGCAGATCCTTATGAGCATCTCTATACTTCTCCACAAGTTGCCGAAGAAGGTGAATGGCCTCAGTTGTTGAGCGACCAGGCATAAAACCGAATTGATTCTCTGAAATCTTCACAGTCCTTCGAAGTCTTTGCTCAATCACTCGCTCCCAAAGTTTCATGGTGTGACTCATAAGCTTAATCCCTCGATAGTTGACACATTCTTGTACATCACCTTTATTCTTAAATAAGGGGATAAGAGTACTCTTCCTCCAACTCGTTGGCATCTTATTGTTTCTCCAAATCATGTTGAAGAAACTTGTTAACCACTCGACGCCTCTCTCTCCCAAACTTCTCCAAACCTCGATCGGTATGCCATCTGGCCCCATTGCTCTTTTCCGTCCCATCTTCCTCAGAGCTTCTTTAACTTCCGTTGTTTGGATCCTTCTCACAAAATCACGGTTTACCATACAATCTGGTATGGACAAATCGCCGATATCTTGCGTTTTGTTCCCGTTGAATAGTGTATCAAAGTATGACCTCCACCTCTCTTTTATCTCTCCGTCGTCCATTAATATCCTCTGATCAACATCCTTCACACACTTAACTTTTGCAATATCTTGAGTTCTGCTATCACGAAGACGATCAAGTTTATAAATATCTAGTTCTCCTTCCTTAGAGTCCAACTTTTCATACAACTCCTTGTTCACTTTCCCTCGTGCTTCCCTTACGGCTTTCTTTGCTTGTCTTTTAGCCTCCCTGTATGCTTCTATGTTCTCATCACTCCAATTTGTCTCCAACTTTTTGTAGCAATCTCTTTTGTTCCTTATGGCTTGTTTCACCTCATCATTCCACCAAGATGTGTCCTTTTTAGGTGGCCGACATCCTTTAGATTCTCCAAGTACCTCCTTTGCCCCTTTGTTAATGGTCAACTCCATTGATACCACACATCATCCACATGTGTTTCATTATCAATACGCCATACATCTTCACCGACCATTTTGTGTGTAAAGCTTTGTTGAAGATCTCCCTCAAGCCTCCACCACTTTATCTTTGGCTCCACTTGTTGTTTAACTTGTCTTCTATGGTTCTTACCTCGAAAGTCAAGCACAAGCATCCTATGTTGAGTGACAACACTCTCACCTGGAATAACCTTACAATCAGTGTAGCTAGTTCTCCAAGTGGTCCGTACTAAGAAGTAGTCAATTTGGGTACTATTAGCTCCACTTTTATAGGTTACAAGGTGAGAGTCTCTTTTCTTAAACCAAATGTTCATTATAGCCAACTCATACGTCAAGGCAAAATCCAAAATGTTCTTTCCCGCCTCATTCCTAGTGCCAAAACCATGTCCGCCATGAATATTCTCAAAGCCATCACGACTCGAGCCCACATGCCCGTTGAGGTCACCTCCTATGATCAACTTCTCTCCCCTAGGCACTCGTCGCACCACGTCTTCAAGATCTTCCCAGAACTGTTGAGTTGTAGATGCATCCAATCCCACTTGTGGTGCATAGGCACTTACCACAGACACAATCTCACATCTTATCACCAATTTAATGCTCATGATGCGATCGTTCTTCCTGAAGACTTCTACCACATCCTCAACATAGTCACGCGCTACAATAATGCCTACCCCGTTTCTAGTCTTATCTCTCCCCGAATACCACAACTTAAAACCTCCGGGATTAATCTCGCGTGCTTTCTCACCAATCCATTTAGTTTCTTGCACACACATAATGCTGATATTCCTTCTGCTCATAACCTCGACTACCTCGGAAGATTTGCCTGTAAGAGACCCAACATTCCATGTCCCAAAACGCAATCTAGCATTCCACCTTCTGTTCTTAGCCCCATCTCGGACCCCACCACGCCCTTGCCTATTTGACATCATCCCCGGGCAATGGGATGACGCGCCGCTTCTGGGCGGCGACCTAGCAACCTTAGCATTCTTATCACCACACCCAGGTCTATCAAGTGTAGTGCACCCTTGCATATTTGACACCACCCCCAGGCGGAGGGATGACGCGTCACTTACGGGTGACGACCTAGCATTAACGATATTCATATTTCGATTCATGTCATGTGATGTGACTAGGTGATACTGTTGGCCGTCACACACCTACCACAGCACCCTCCTTCTTTATCCTGGCTTGGGACAGGCATGATACCAAAAAAAATGATATCATGGTGGAGTTTCTCTATTCCATACGGCACTTCAAAATATATTTATTCCTAGTTCTAGCTGCTTACTTCACCAGGCTCCATGTGCCTAATTTACAGCCGTTTGAATATGGAAGCGTCTTTCATTTCAATTCCTCATGCCCCCGTCTTTCTATTTAATCCCCTTTTTCTGAATGTAAATGTATGTGAACTGATTTAATTAAGTGATTATATGGTATCTGGAGAACCTTACACCCTTCGATTTTTCTTGCGTATAAGAGAAACTTGCTATCCAAGCATTGTATTTCACCCAAACAGTAATGTTCTATATAACAATATAAATTACGGAGTATAAAACTTACGTAGTATATACTTCATCTGTCCCATTTTAGAAGTTTAACCTTCCTGATTAGTTCGTAACCCAATCATGTCTAGTTCTCTTTTTCGAAGAAAACTACATTTCAACTTACCTTTCTCTGATTTGACATTTTGAACTATTTGCACAACTTTTTATAAAAGTTGTTCACCCTTTAGAGGGTAGAATTGAAACTAATCAAGTATCATTGTTTTCCTTTAGTATGTGTGCATAAAACAATTGGGGTTTATCTTTGGGACAGAAGGATTGACTTGCATCATTAATGGCTTGATGCTAGTGTTTACCAAAAGTTTGCTGTCTATTTCAGCAACAGAAAGGTGAGAGCTTCTTCACATTTGCTAGGGATATGACAATTAAATCTACACAAGCTGTTGTGCAATCTGCATCAATACCAGATGATCTTGGACTATGGAAATCCCAACTTCTGTGGGCTTCACGTGTGCTACCAATGCCTCTTATTGGGGTTTTCATCATTTCAGGAGTCTGTTTAGATATGGCAAGCCAGGCATCACAGTATCCAGAGCTAGAAGCACTGTCTAGGCTTGATTTTGGTGCTGCAATAAAACTGTTTCTGGCAAAGCAACTTACATCTGAGTAAGTGTACTCAGTATCCATATAAATATGTTTCATTTGATCAAAGAATATGATAGGCAGCCAGCTCAGCAGCGTATTAAATATTTTGAAAAGGTCTATCAAAGAAAGAAGGGAAGGGCTATTCAGTAATTAGCTTCTGAGTTAGTTATTCTCTTTTGTCCCTGCGTGGACACTTTTACTATAAATAGTATGCTAAGAGATATTAAATGCAGGCTGTTATTTTGTTGGATGTCAGAACCTTGGAGATTGGGCCTCTCGAAACCGCCCCTGAGCACGGTATCCCTGTGATCGGTTCAGTTAAATAATAAAGTTTACGATCATATTCCTTACTTTTCTCTGGTGTTTATGATTGATATTATCATTGTCTATCAATGGTATCAGAGCATTAGCTCCTGGGAATCGGAAATCTATTTGCGGCACAGTTTACCTTCGTGACAGCGGTGTATGGTCAGAACGAGGTCAAAAATGGAGAATAGAATCAATACGTTGGAGCTGGAAATGAAAACGGGAATGGCAAACCTCACAACGATGAGTGAACAGATGCAGAGGAATTTCGCAAATTCGATGGCAGCTATGAGCGAACATATTCAAAACCTTCATGTTCGGTCACATGGGCGATCACGATCACAGCACCGCCAACAGTCGCGATCACCACATAGCTCACCACCGTCGAGAGGTAATTCTGTTCATTCTCCCACCTCTACTCGTCATATTCATACGGGCAGGAAGGTAGATCTACCCCTATTTAACGGAGAAGGAGCTTACAACTGGATTGTAACGATGGAGCGATACTACAGATTGAACCAAATAGATGACGAGGACAAGGTAGAAGTTTCAGTGGTGGCCATGGAGGATCACGCCTTGAACTGGTTTCAGTGGTGGGAACACCAGGCGGAAGAGAGAACCTTGGAAAACCTGAAGGATGCTGTGATCCGTAGGTTTCAGTCGGATCTAATACAAAATCCGTACGGGCCTATGTTGAGTCTGAAACAAACGGGTACGGTGAAGGATTACAGGGACGAGTTTGAAATGGTTATAGCTCCCCAGAGAGATGTGGACAGAGGTATTTTGCGAGGCATTTTCATCAATGGTCTCAAGGAGGATGTTAAAACTGAACTGAAACTGTATAATTCCAAATCCTTATCTGCCATCATGGATAGGGCATTGTTGATTGAACAAAGGAATGATGCAGTTTATTTGAAGAATAAGGTGGAAGATGGGACCCAGGGGAGGGATAAGGGCACTTTTAATCTTAAATCCCCACTGTGGGGAGAAGGATTCAAGGCGAAAAGTGGACACCCTTGGCCAAACAATGGAGGAAAAAATACTGCAGATAATAAGGGGAAACAGTCTTGGTACACTCCTTCAGGGGCAAGGGTGACTGAAATCAACCCTTCAGGTATCAAGCGTGTAGGACCACAACTCTCTCGAGAGGAATACCAAGACAGGAGTAGGAAAGGGCTTTGTTTCAAATGTGGAGAGAAGTGGAGCAGGGAACACACCTGTAAGCTAAAAAATTTCAAACTCATATTAGTAGAAGATTCTGATGAAGAGGTGGAGCCAGAATCAGCAGAACCTGAACTAGCTGAAGAAGAGGAAATCACTATGGAATCAAAAACCATGCAACTATCTGTGATGAGCAAAGAAGGGATACCTTCCATGAGGGCCTTCAAGGTGAGGGCAGTCTGACATGGAGCCAAGGGGAATTTCCAGTGGAGGCATTGATTGATAGTGGGGCTACCCATAACTTCATATCACAAAGACTGGTAGAACAGTTGGGCATTCCCTGTCAGACTATATCTGGGTACAGGGTCCAGATTGGGAATGGTGACAAGATTTCCAATAACTGCAGATGTGAAAGATTGAGCCTTAAGTTGCAAGACACTATTATTCACCAGAATTTCTATGTATTGGAATTTCCATGCCAGATTTGGTTCTTGGCATGGAATGGCTGACTACACTGGGAGATGTAGAAGTTAATTTCCATAAGCAATCCATTACATGGAAATGGTTGGGGGTCAAACAAACCATCATAGGGGACTCCCAGCTCAATTCCATTGAAGTCTCACTTCAGACTATGACCAAGATCATCCAGGACAATGGAGATGGGTATCTTATCCTATCTGAAGGCATCCTAACAGAAGAGAAAGAAGAGCACCAGAATGATCAGGGGTGGACAGAATTATTGGCAGATTTTCAAGAGGTAATCCAGCCATTACAAGGGTTACCACCACCAAGAGCATGTGATCATGCTATCAATATAAAGGAGGGAGCTACTATACCCAACATTAGACCTTACGGGTATCCTCAATATCAAAAAAATGAGATAGAGAAGATAATCAAAGAGATGTTGCAGTCGGGGATCATTCAACACAGTAACAGCCCTTATAGTAGCCCTATATTACTAGCCAAGAAAAAAGATGGGGGTGGAGGTTTTGTGGAGACTATAGGGCCCTAAATCAGATTACTATTCCTGACAAATTCCCCATACCCATTATTGAAGAGCTGTTAGATGAACTGGGAGGTGCAACAATCTTTTCAAAGCTAGATCTCAAGTCTGGATACCATCAAATCAGGATGAAGGAGACTGATAGACAGAAGACTGCTTGTAGAACCCATGAAGGGCATTATGAATACTTGGTAATGCCCTTTGGGTTGACTAATGCCCCCTCCACTTTTCAGGCTCTAATGAATCAAGTATTGAGGCCCTTTTTGAGAAGGTTTGCCTTAGTCTTCTTTGATGACATCCTAGTGTACAACAAATCTAGAGAGGAACATATCCTACACCTTAGAGAAGTGTTAACTGTTTTGAAGGAAAACCAGTTGGTGATTAATCTCAAGAAGTGCTCATTTGGAAGATCCCAATTGGTATACTTGGGTCATATTATATCTGGACAAGGAGTAGCGGCTGATCCTTCAAAAATAGAAGCCATGCTCAGTTGGTCAGAACCTAAGGATCTGAAAGGTTTGAGAGGATTTCTTGGGTTGACTGGTTTTATAGGAAGTTCGTGATGTTGTTTGGTAAACTGGCATTACCTCTTACTCAATTGTGCAAAAAGGACAGTTTCCACTGGGATTCCAAAGCCTCTTCAGCCTTTGCAGAACTGAAGCTAGCAATGACCTCACTTCCTGTGCTAGCAGTACCAGATTTCAACAAGTTATTCATACTGGAGACTGATGCTTCAGGTACTGGGTTAGGGGCAGTCCTAATGCAGGAAGGAAGGCCCATTGCATATATGAGCAAGGAACTATCCAAGAAAAATCAATGTAAGTCAGTCTATGAAAGAGAGCTCATGACTGTGGTTCTAGCTGTACAGAAGTGGAGACCTTATTTATTAGGAAGGGCTTTTGAGATACATAGAGACCAAAAGAGTTTGAGGTTTTTAGCTGAGCAAAGAATTATGGGAGAGGAGCAGCAGAAGTGGACCTCTAAACTGCTAGGATATAACTTTATCATCAAGTATAAACCTGGGATTGAAAATAAAGCTGCAGATGCTTTATCTAGAAGACCTATCCTTCATTCACTCTCCATTCTTACCTGCAAGAGTGGGAAGGGCTGGAGGAGTTACAGTCTGATCCCAGATGTCATGAGCTAATACAGAAGGTTATTTCTCAACCTGACTTGCATCCAGACTTTCAGATAATAAAGGAGTTATTGTATTATCAAAAGAAGTTGGTGTTGCCCAGGCAGTCTCCTAGAGTACTCAAGGTCTTACAAGAATATCATGACTCTTCAGTGGGTGGTCATTCTAGGTACTTTAGAACCATGAAGAGGATACCAAACCTGTTTTATTGGCATGGGATGAAGACTGACATTAAGAAGTTTGTGGAGAGATGTACCATTTGTCAAACCAATAAATATCAAGCCTTAAAACCATCTGGTTTGCTACAGCCCCTACCCATTCCTAGCAGTATTTGGACGGATATCAGCATGGATTTCATAGGGGGACTGTCCAAATCTCAGGGTAAGGATACAATCTTAGTTGTGGTGGACAGATTGACTAAGTATGCACACTTTTTAGCTCTATCTCATCCCTACAATGCTATAAGGAAGTTGCAGATTTATTCACAAAAGAAGTGGTTAAAATTCATGGGTTTCCTAAATCTATTGTGAGTGATAGGGATAGTGTGTTCATGAGCTCCTTCTAGTCAGAGCTTTTCAAATTGGCAGGTACCCAGCTCAAATTCAGCACAACCTACCATCCCCAGACAGACGGGCAAACTGAGGTGCTCAACCGTTGCCTAGAAACATACTTGAGATGCATTACCGGGAGGAAACCTAAGCAGTGGGTTCGTTGGCTACATTGGGCAGAGTTTTGGTACAACACTAATTACCATTCTTCCCTGAAACTGACCCCTTACAAAGCCTTGTTTGGGCAGGACCCTCCTGCAGTCATCAGGGGGATGTGACTGCAACTGCTGTAGAAGAGGTGTCCCAATTGACTGCCAGAAGGAATGACATGTTGGAGGAGTTAAAAGGGAACCTAGCTCAAGCTCAGAATTTGATGCAGCAGCAAGCAAATAAGCACAGGAGGGAGATAGAGTTGGCAGAAGGTGATCTGGTTTATCTAAAGATACAACCCTACAAACTTAAAAGTCTGGCCAAAAGGATAAATCAGAAGCTCAGCCCCAGGTTTTATGGTCCTTTTCAGATTCTGGAAAGAATTGGACCTGTAGCTAATAAGCTGAAATTTCCAGAAGATGGTCGAATACATCCAGTCTTCCATGTTTCTTTATTAAAGAAAGCATTAGCCCCTACTACTGTGGTCCAGAACCTGCCCAAGTGCCTCAATGAAGAATTAGAACTGCAAGTGATACCAGAGGAAGTTGTAGACATTAGAAGAAATCAGGAGGGAAGAAAGGAGGTTCTCATACATTGGAAGGATCTACCAAAGTTTGAAGATTCTTGGGAAGAGGTACAGGTGATGGAGGAAATGTTCCCAGAGTTTCACCTTGAGGACAAGGTGAATTTGCAGGGAGGGAGTATTGATAGGCAGCCAGCTCAGCAGCCTATTAAATATTTTGAAAAGGTCTATCAAAGAAAGAAGGGAAGGGCTATTCAGTAATTAGCTTCTGAGTTAGTTATTCTCTTTTGTCCCTGCGTGAACACTTTTACTATAAATAGTATGCTAGGAGATATTAAATGCAGGCTGTTATTTTGTTGGATGTCAGAACCTTGGAGATTGGGCCTCTCGAAACCGCCCCTGAGCACGGTATCCCTGTGATCGGTTCAGTTAAATAATAAAGTTTACGATCATCTTCCTTACTTTTCTCTGGTGTTTACGATTGATATTATCATTGTCTATCAGAATAGGCGCATTAGTGCATTATGGTGTTAAGAGAACTATGTAATGCCCTGGCATGCCCCCATGCCCCCATAGTTGTTTAAATCTGGACTTGGACCGGCCTGATGGACTGGGTACTAGAGGTACTTGCGACTTGGTCAAGCCAGATAGTAGATCGGTCATGCTGTTAAACCACTTGAAAGTGAAACCACACTACTGGGTCATTAATTGAATCGTTGAACCGTGCATCTGTTGACCTGGCCCATTGTTTTTTCTTTTTCAAGAAAACCAGTTACATCTGAAGAGTTGATGAAAGGATAAAAAACACAACCTCATCTCATATTTATGCGCTCAATCCGTGAAGCTATTATGACAACCATGTATATTCCAACTTTCATTAAACACATGGCTTTTATGTATCCACACTCATTACTTATACACTCAAACCACTACACTATGAAGTCAACCTTGTACACTTCATACTTATGATAAACATATACTGCATACTATCTATGAATTATTTTAATCTAATACTCAATAAAATTAAATGGGCGATTCTAAATTATTTTATTTATTTTTTCACTCACATACGTTAAACTTGATACATAGAGAATATGAATTATACTTGTAAAGTAATACTACGTATATACAAGTAATCATGTATTAGAGTCCAAATATAACTATATATGTGTGTGTATGTGTATGCGTACGTGCACGTGCATGTGTACATGCGCGCTTACATGTGCATATGTTCCGATAACTATATACTTTAGATTTATTTGTATGTTGACTTGGTCAAGCAGTTCAATTAGTGATATACCAGTTCGACCATTGATCTTCTGACCCAGCCTCTGGCTTGACAACCAATTCAAGCTTTGAAATACAGTACCAGCAGCTCAACTGGTCGATCAGACTAAGTTAAAAGTGTTTGTTTGCTTAGCTGGCTGTGGAATGGGTGCTAGTGTACAAGCAGTTGAAACTTGCGGGATGCTTAAGGCAGATGAGGGTTATCTGCACCAATGCAATCTACAAATGGCATGCAAACTGGAAAGGGAAAAATCTAAAAATGTTTTTTTTCCTGATACTTGGCTTTAGCTTGTGAATTAGGGGGAAAGGGCAGCCTGTTGCCCTGTTGCACAATTGCATCCACACAAGGTGAGGGTCCGGGGAAGGGTTCCACCTCTCAGTCACATGACAACACCATGACCAGTGTGCATAGGCTGATCTTTTTGGGTTTAGCTTGTGAATAAAGGAGGAAAAACTAACTGTGATTATAACCTTTTAAAACATTACATATAAGATTTTCTTGTCTTGATGTATTGAATTTAAAGCCTTTTAAAAAAAATATCTCACATTTCATTTTCTTATAAATTCCTCGCAATTTCCCCCTGTTTTGTTTCCATGGCATTTTCCCAGTTCCAACTAGACCCCAATGATAAGGCAACAGAATTTCGGAGCCCTCATGTGTGGCGTAAACGTTTTCTTATAATAAGTAAAATGCCATGGTATTGCACATGCAGGTTCACACAGGCGACGGCTGATGTGGAGGCGAAATCTGTCGTAATAGGCGAGAGAAACAAGGCAGCGACAGAAGCACTTAGAAGGGCGATCGATGATGGGCACAGCAAGATAGCCATCCTTTATGGGGGTGGACACATGCCAGATTTGGGGCGTCGACTACGTGCTGAGTTTGATCTTTCTCCCTCTCAGGTACAGTGGATAACTGCTTGGTCTATTGGGGCAAGCAACACAACAAGCAGGAGCTCTTTCCCATTTCTGAAAACAGTGGCTGAAGTGTTGCGATGGCCGATAAATAGATATCAAACACTCGCACTGCTAATATTTTCATCAGTCCTTGCGCTGGATCTGTTGCTCTGGGAGCTGTTATTTGGCACCACAGCTAATTGGATTACTCGTCTTGCTTTTGACACTTTCCAATAAGTTCACAATTCATGATGATATTGGTTTGTGTATAGTACATAAGTTGTAGAAATGTGCATATGTTTTGAGTTGGAAAATGATACTCCGTAGGATATTAGCAGCAGGACAAGGAAAATGGTCCAGGAAAATGCGTCCTTCAGTTCTTGTTTGTTATTAAAGAAGGCAATGATATATTTCCATACTCTTGCCATGCTTCTATAGCTATTCATTTTAGTTATTTGCTGAGTTGCTAATTTCTGTGGTTCTCTGCATAAGATCTCTGTATTCTAAAAAGCGTTGAGAAGGCATCCAACGCTCGTTAGAACTTAGAACATTGTTTCTTGCATAAGACAAACACTTTTTGTTTAGGTATGTTGATGTACTTATTCAGGATTCAACATTTTCATTTAGGTCTGCTGGACGGTTTGCAACTCAACAGGTGAGAATGTTAACCAGTTCTTGGTCTGACCAAAATTTTGTTCAAACCTGCTTGCTACACCAAATTTTAATCTAGGTAATTTCGGGAGATAAAAAGTAAAAAAGAGAGATTCTTTTCATGGACACTAGAACTACTGGTGTACGGTGGTATTACAGGTAGTATTAATATTGAAAAGTCATCTTTGTAGTTATCACTCGTGGCATTGATCACTTTTTAAGTAAACATGTATGATCAATATCTTGAAAAGTTTAAAAATTAGTCACGTTTGAGTATTACTTTAATAATATTGCAGGAGAACAGTATGAACTGTGAAGATGAAAGTAGTTCTAAATTTCATACTGGTAACGGTGCAATAGTTTTAAACTATGTCTAACAAATATCTAGATACAGTATGATAAAAATACTATGTAATACGGAGTATGTAATTTCAGAAATTAAAACGAAGTAAAGTTGATTGCTAGAATAATCTGAAAGAATCGTATTTTGATACATACTACTTTAGTTTCTTAAAATTTTACCGAGCTGCCACATGCTCATTAAAGGGCAAGTAAGTTCAAATGGCCTAAAATTAGGTTAAAAAGAAACAGAAAAAGTGTACCAAATCTAAAAATTTGAGAAACAACTAAAATGAAGTCTCAGAATTTCCTCCTCACTTGAAAACAGGATGAAACAATCCATGGATTATATAATTCTGTGAAGAGTAGCTTGTTTCTGCCTAACACCCATTCGCAATTAGACTATTTTAATAATTGAACCAGCGCCTCCAAGATCATTGCCTTGAACTGAGGAAGCCACTGCTTGCTGCCGGCCGCATGATGTCAGATACCCCCCATAATTCCTCTATCAACCTGCCAGAGTTCCGCCGCCAGCATCAACGCCGGAGTTCTGTGGCGCCGCACCTGAAATCTGCCACTGTTGGTATCCGCTGTGGCCGGAATTTGCTGCCGCTACCACGGACTGACCTGCCATGAACGGATTGGTCTTGGTTATGCAAGTGAACTAGGAGCAATTGATTAGCTTAATTAAATTAGGGATAGAAATGGAATGATACATGAGTATATTATAGTCTTAGTTTCCTCTATTTTAGTGCGGTTTAGAATAACTTCTCAATTATTTATCTATTGAACGTTGATGCCATTAAACTTTAGAGATCACGTATCGGCTACATGCTTAATAAGGAGCCCACCTGCTCCTTAATTTTTTTGGATTACCAATAATTTTATGAAAGTCTTTTACTTTTATGAGTGTTTTCAACATAAAACATTCCTATATGATTTTTATTTTATGAATCGTTCCTATATATATACATATATATATATATGTATGTATATGTATATGTAGGGGATGGTTCCGGTGAGAAAAGGAGTCCAGGAGAGAAATGAGAATAAAATCCAATCATTGATATTCTTAATCCAATGGACACCAAAAAAAGTTGATCAATTTCATTAGCCTTACGTTTCGGTCAAATGATATTAATCATAAAGGAAACTTTCTAAGACCTAATGATTGTAGGGGTTATGGATGGACTCGGGCCGGGTGGCCCGACCCGAAACCGGCCCGGGACCGGTACTGTTCCGGCCCTGTCCGACCCGGTGGCCCGGTCAGTGACCGGTCCGGGTAGGCCCGACCCATGGGTTTTCCTGTCCGGGCTCGGGTCACCCAAAACAAGGCCCGAACCGGGCCCGGGTCCGGGCCCGGTTCGGGCCGAAATTGAATTTTTTTTCAACTTTTTTTCAATTTTCGGGTTGGGCTGGGTATTTTGGGCCATTTGGGGTGGTTTGGGGGTGGGAGAGGGGTTAATTAGGAAGAGGGAAAAAAAATGATATTGGGTCCGGCCCGGCCCGGACCCGGACCAGACCCGGTGGTTACCTGGGCCGGTCCTGGGTCCACCACTCCTGAACCGCCGGCCCGACCCGGTCCGGACCCGAGTCCATCCCTAGTAGGGGTATTGATGTCAAAAAAAATCTCTAATGGTTGCACACGTCATTCTACATTAGGAAGTCTTCCAAACATTTAGGAAATCAATTACTCTCATCTTAGTATTATTAAATGCATTTTATTGTTTCTCAGGTTTCCTTTTCTTAATACATTATTGTCTAGTAAATCGGAATGTGAAATAACATCTCATATATATAGCACTTTTAATACTACGTACTGAACATTATATATACTACTTATACATTACTTATAATAAAGATATGCATTCTAGACTAATAATTATTGTGCACATTTTTATATTGTGCTTGAGTGTGATTTTGCATCCGATCGGGAGTTATTATATGCATTCCAGTAATCTATCAAATGCACTTTTACTTCAACTATCATGCACTTTATAATATTTTAATTTTTATGTGTGTGCTGTGTGCACTTATACTAGGAACATTATGCACCTTAGAATTCCCAAATCCTCACTTGTATGTGTATCAAGAGAAAAGTGCATATCTTATATCATTTTAATATTTTTGTGTTTGCACTTATACTGATCTGATTTTGCATATTTTTAGTTTTTTATGTATATTTAAATAATTATTAATCATATTTGAAGAGATGTTTTTTTACCGAGTATTATGCACTCAAATAATTTTTCAAATGCACTTTTATTCAAATATTCAATTATCATGCACTTTATAATATTTTAGTTTATCAGTGTGCACTAATATCAGGAATATTATGCACCTTCGAATTCACAAATCCTCACTTGTATGTGTACCAAGAGAAAAGTGCATATCTTATACTATTTTAATCTTTCTATGTTTGCACTTATACTGAAAACATTATGCACTTTTCAGAGTTTTAAAATTAAAAATGTGAACGTTTCCACTTTTGAACGTCTGAGTTGCACTATTGCATTTAGAAATTTTTTATCATCCACTTGCAGAGTTACTTGAAACTATCACCATCTTCACCAAGTGCGAAGCTATGGAACGATGGAGGAACCAGCAATTCTAATTCTGGCTTAATTGCGAATGTTAGCTTCATCATTTTCGACAGTTGCTTCAAAGTGCGTTCTAGGCTAAACAATCCGCTGACTGCGACTCTAATGATCCATGGAGCCGGAAATTCAGATGCGGTGCTATGGAACAAAGTCTACTCCACTGCTAGGCTATCTGTGATCTGAAAGTAGGGAGTGTTTATATTTTAGGCCTTTGTGTGTTACAAGATCAATTGTTTCCACTGATCTAAGCCCTACTTTTCTTTAATTTGTGAATATAGACCGCACTTATTTTGACTGCGAACTCATTGTTATTTCCAGAATAAGCATTGGCGAAGGTATTGATAGTTTCCAGAAGCTCACTACGGAACTCATTGCTAATGCCTAATGTTCGCCTCATCATTAATGGCTACAATTCTAAACACTTCGCTGACTGAGACACTACTGATGGACAAAGACTGTAACTCACCTGATCCGATGCTAAGTGATGATGATGATGATTATAGCGGTGATGATTCTGAGCATGATTCGGAAGATTCTGTTCCTTGGTATGATCAAGACCCACCTGATTAAGAAGTAAATGAAGAAGGTGATGAAGTGATGCAAGAATATGATAACCCCAGCACGTATGGCATTCCTATTATAGAAAATGGATTACAGGTTGGGGTAATGGGCCTTGAAGGCATCACCGGATACATGTCGTTTGGGATTGCCCTGGTAGAGGAGTATTATGATCAGCCTACGGACGCCATACACCACATCTTGGCAACATTTTGTCACCGGAATTGGGCGCGTGAGAGTAGAGAAGGTAGCAGAAGCCCGTGCTAATCATATTGTGATGATTCTTATTGATTCCCAAGGCCAGGCAACCCGCACAGGAATGGACAAAGGGTTCATCTATGACAGAGAGGAATTCAAGGTCGTAACCCACCTTACATGGGCTGCTTTGTCCGGGGTGGAACCTGAGGAGTGTATTCCTTTCAACACGATCAATATCGGCGGTGGGAGAGAATAATTATTTGGGCTTATTCTTATCGGGCTTCTAAACTGTACTGGACTGATTATATTTTTAGTCTGTTATAGCCTATTAGCCCTTTAGTATAAATAGGCTTCTTTAACCTACTGTAAACGATGATTAACTTTTCTTCTTCTTCGTATATTCAATCTTCTTCCGCTACTCTTCCTCTCTGCAATTTGTTTCAACTTCTACATGGTATCAGACTAAGGTCTTGATCGATCCTCATTCAATCTTCTTCTCTAATCGATTCCTCACAATCGATTTCATCCTTCTTAATCGATTTCTATAATCGATCTCTTCCTATTCCTTTTATTCAATTATCTGCAAAACCCTAACTACTATGGCTTCACCGCTAAATCCGACGGAAGACTCCTCATCACCGTACTATCTTCATCCTAGCGATCACGCTGGGCTTCGAGTCATCTACGAAACACTCACAGGCGACAACTTTGGTGCATGGAAGAAATCTGTTTCCATGGCTATGGCGGTGAAGAACAAGATGGGATTTCTCGACGGTTCAATCACAAAACCAAGTCCAGATACTCCTGTGTACATCAACTGGTATCGTATCAACGCTCTCCTCTTATCTTGGCTGATATATTCTATTTCACCTGCTCTTCGCACTACTTTCGTATCTTTTACTGATGCTAAGGAGCTTTGGGATGAGGTTCAGCTTAGGTATGGAAAAATTGATGGTCCTAGACTTTTTCATCTTGAAAAAACCCTAGGAAATCTTTGTCAAGGTTCTCGTAGTATAACTGATTACTACAACTGTTTCAAAGAAATTTGAGATGAATACTGTAATTTCAGAATTATTTCTTCTTGTACTTGTGGTCAATGCACTTGCTATATATCTGAAACCTATCAAAAAATTATCCAGAAAGAGTCTATTCTCAAGTTTCTTGTTGGTTTGAATGATTCATATTCTAATCTGAGAAGCCAAATTCTTCTTAACACAGAAAAAACTACTCTGTCTAGTATCTACTCTATTCTTCTTCAAGAAGAATCTCAAAGATCTCTTCAGAATACTCTTCCTTTCACTACTT